AATGTCCAGCCTTGGATTTGAAGTCAGGGCACGAAAGTGTTGAGTTTCTTGTCATGATGGTTTAATGGAAACGGGTTAGGGAGACTATCAGACTTAAGGAGACGAGGTTCAATTGCTCCTGTTGCGTCCTTGGAAATTCCACCAGGATGGGCTCAAGGAAAAAAAAACAACAAACAAAAATGAGCTTTTCTATAAGCAACAGTAGTCATGATTTAAAGGGGGAAAAAACTCAAGTTAATGCTTGGATTTACCTTTAAAAGGATGGCATTTACCAACCTTATTAATAGCACTATTTATAATAATCCACTAAAACACATTTATGCACTTCAACACAATTATTCTATTGTTCATACTGTTACTTTTGTATTAACTATAACTAACTGCAACACACAAGACACAATTTAGTGCACACAAATCACACACTATCGTCTTTTATTGCCACATGTAGCTGAATGCACTGCAGTAAGTCTCACACACCGGTGCTGCAACTTAAATATTTCCTTTGCACTCATTTGATTTTGCTGGTGACACAAATACTACTGTAAACCTAAAGGTACTTTTATAGTGTGCATGCTTGGCTTCTGAATGAATTCACGTTTTTGAATAAAACATTAAATAATTCCCTTGTGTTTTCTAAACAAACAGTCTCAGGAATAATAGGGACTTTGTTGTGTAAAATGGGGGAATTAGACATGGTGTAATATGGTCTTTGGTCTCTAGATAAAACCACCTATTTATACAGTATTTCCTGAGCATAAAAAAGACCATGTTTTAAATAGCGGAGAACTGCAGAGTCTTCATCGTGAGGATGTTCTACCTTCCGGAGCGACAGAAAGCTGCAGACAGCCACAGATAAGGCTTCCATTAGGGCTATTATTTTAAAGCATCTCACCCCTTAATGGACCCTCCTGGTGTGCCCACAAACCCGCTATCTTATCCTCACAGGGCCCGTTAACCAGCCTGGGTTTCGCTTCCTACAGGTGTGAAACTGTCTGAAACCACAGTCAGTCCCCTCAGGGCAGCTGCTGGGAGCGCTGTGAGGCACTGATGTTTTGTCAGCCCCACAACAACAACTGTTAATACCTCTGCAGTGGGCACCTTAGAGAGCTTTGAGAAATACTGATCAAAAAGCTACCATAAGTGAGGACAATGAAAATGCACAGTATATCTGCTATGAGTGTTTATTATTTACCCACTATGTCTAATGAGACTTTAGGCACAAATAGTTTTTGTTTCTAATTTTATGCTTAAATGGTTATTCTTTCTTTTATTTGATGAAAAAATGAAGACTTACACCACTCTCCTCACTGTACTTTAAATGCAAAGCTGAGCAGAAACAAGGAACATCAGCACACCCAACACAGTCAATATTCATTATTGGTCTATTTTTATATTTTTTGTACAAATATTTTTGCATGGACTTTGTTCTGGATTGCACTTCGAGCCAACACATCTCTATGAGGCTGTCAGGTTTTATTCAAAGCCCCTCCTTGAGCCTGGTTCTGCCAGAGGTTTCTTCCTGTTAAAAGCGAGTTTTTCTTTCCCACTGTTGCCAAAGTGCTTGCTCATAGGGGGTCGCCTGATTGTTGGTGTTTGTCTGTATTACTAGGTCTTTACCTTACAGTGTTAAGTGACTTGTATTGACCATTGTTGGGATTTGGCACTATATTAAAAATATATATATATATTTTTGCTGGATTAATGATGCTATACCCAACAAGTTAAAAAGTTAGCTTCAAAGATTCTTTGTTTCATGTAGATGTGAGAAAGGTGTTGAGACTCACATACTTGCTAACATCATATCTAATCAGCCAATCACAGCCAGTGAATTTAGGCATGCAGATAATGACAGGATTATCGGCTGAAGTTCAAATCGAGCATCACCTAGGGGAAGAGATGTCATCTGAACATGGCGTTGTTGTTGGCGCCGGGTTGGCTGAAATTACTTATGTACTGGAATTTTCCCACACAACCATCTCTGGGGTTTCGCGAGAATGGATCGAAAAAGAGAAAACACCAAGTGAGCAGCAATTCTCTGGTCCAATGTCAAACTGGAACATGACAGTTCATTGTACTTAAACGGCCTTCATAGGCACCTGGTTACAATCTAATATAGCTCATGTGGTGGAAAGAGGCAGTTGCATCATTGATGTGCAGAAAACAAATCTATGCAATAGCAAATTCAATTAGTTCGCAAGGCAAAAGTGGGTACTAGTCAAGCCTAACTTACTGTATAAAGTGATGAGTGTAAGGATGTTCGTCAGCATGTTCAAATCGTTTTCTAATTCCTACGCTCTGTGCTAACAAAGAGTGGCAGCAGATAATATTGTGCTGGATAAAAATGCCGATTTCAAACACATTTGCAGTGAGGAAGGTGTTTTATGCCATTTTTAGTCGTTTTACTAGTTTTTAGTTGGGTGACTAGACTGACACCAGCTGTTCTTGAAAGTATTAACATGATTTGCTATGAAGTCTATTATGAAGCCTGATTTGATAGCTATAATAGAAGAAGTTGGAAATGCTACCTTGTGTTATATCATGGTGGCCACTGGACTGTGGGCAGCACTTTGGAAATCCTGGTTCCAATCAATAAGCCTGACATTTATTGAGTAAGTCATCAAGCCTTTTTTTTTCCTGATTCCAGCTTCTGAAATGTGCAGACTTGCTGTTCAGACAACTTTGCCTGTAAGAGGTTTGAGTATAGAAAACAAATATTAAAAATATATGCTGTCCTTTTCAACAACTTAAGGCTTCAAGGCTAAGCCGTTAAGTAATCAACTGAACAAAAATTAGAAAAATGAATGAATATTCCAAATAATAATTAGTAAAGTTGTATAATTCATGACGTCCAGTGTCTGCTGGGTATTCTGCTAGCTTTATTTTTTCAAAGCTTTGCTCAAAAAGAACAATTTTGTGTCTCAGACTTTTTCATAGTCACCTGAAAGGTCGAGCCTTCTGTGATTAAAAGCACACAGAATAATGACAAACTCCTTTACACATAAAGCAAAAAACCAACAACTAACATTCATTACAATGTAACTCTTATAGTATCCTGTTGTATTGGTGTTTTTTTCTAGCTCATAATAAAAGAGACGGTACAATTTGCTACATTTAAAAAGGACAGAGTAACCCCGGGTAATGAGATGTACGTGAGGCCTTAAAAGCTTATTAATCAACCGTATATTTTGGTGCGACAAGCTGTCAGGTGCTCAACAGTGAAGCTAATCATTATTTTATGTTCAGAAGTTTTATTTTTTCTACAAAAAAAAAAAAAAAAAAAAAAGCGAAATGTACAAACAGATGACAAATGTGCAACCCACACATTGAAACATTACATTCCTGTTCTAACACCATGCACTTTAAGATAATGAAAAACAATAAATGTGTGTGCGTAATATCAAAGAGGTCACTGGTTTTCAATCTGAATGCCAAGCAGGCACCTGGCATCAGTTCAGTATTCAAGCAGCATGGGCAGTATACCCCACCCCTCATGTACTTAGTCCTTCAGATAGTCTCCGAATTGGTTTTTGTGGGACCAATGAGGATTTCCAAAACACAGCACAATTTCAAAACCCACAGTCAGCACTGTTTTTATTACTTCCAAATCTATCACGTGGTTTCGTTTAATCATCATTCAGTATGTTTTGCAAGAATATTCCAGTTTTACAGCATCTTAGAAAAATAATTGGTTCTGTATATATAACAACAATGGTGCTAGATACATCTGAACAGCATTATGTACAATACAATTTGTTTGCCGAATGTGGTGAAAGATATCTGTAAAGGTAACGATGAGTACTGATATACTTCATATTCACTTAATGCAATGATCAAGACTTTGTATCATTTATTTATGAGATATGGTAATTATTTAATATCAATAAGCTGCAATATTTTATCTCAAACCATCCTTTTCAAACATAAAACGCCTCAACCATCCAAAATCACTAAAAACCAAACATGTAACAACTTTTATAAGGAAAGATTTGCACCCGGATATGTCATGATATCTCCTATGGAAAGAATTTGAAATCATATGGAAACAGACTTAAAAATAATCTTTTTGATGTAATGATGTTTTGATAGCTATAATATTACAGTGTGATTTTCTCAAAAGTACCTGTTAAAATCTACATTCATTCAAAATGTATCACTTGTATTTCTAGTCCAAAACCAACATCATATTTCTCATCACCTGTAATAGATTAACTTCCATGATGTAATTCCTGTTGGAGTAATACGGAACATCAACAGCTGCGTCAGTTAACAACCGACCTGGAATTTCAAAGATATGTTTCAGGTATAGTGCTGTGCAAAAGTCTCGAGTTGCCCCTCATTTCCTTTTGCTTTGCTTCCAAAGTGGTTAGCGTTTCATGCAATTTTTAAAGTGGTCTTGAGCAATAATTATCATTTGAATCTTTAAAATTTTGTCTTTGGACATTGACTGCTTTTTTTGTTGTTGTTTTTAATTTCAGACAAGTTCTTGCACCTGACCATTTTCAGACTCATGTTTTGGGGGGATTTTGCATTTTCTTTGGGGGGGGGGTATCTTTAGGCGCTTTGTTATTAGCATTCTGTTGCAAAAACATTTTCCCCACAATTTCTTTAAACCAAGACTATGAACAAAGGCATTCAGGAGAGAGGTTCAATAGTGAGTCTCTATAGCCATCTGTAAAACAAGGTGGCGGCTCTGTCATGGTTGTGACTGCAATTCAGCCACTATTACTGGGGGATCTTCAAAACTCATCAAAATTGATCAGATTTAGAGCCACCATCCCCAAACACACCGCCAATGTAGCAAAAACATACCTGGATAGAAAAGCACACAGTGAAACACTGTCAATCATGGACTGGCGTCCCCAGAGCCCGGATCTCAACATTAATAAAGCAGTGTGGGATCAACTTGACAGAATGGAAAGAAAGGCAGCCAACATCCAAAGACGACCTTTGAATGTCTTTTAAAAAGCCTGGAGAACTATTCCTGAAGACTTACTTATGGAAGTTACAAGAAAGCTGCCTAAGAGAGTTCAGGCTGTGTTGAAGAATACTAAAAACTGATTTTTTTTAAAGCTCCCTAGAATTATACAAACTGTTTTGTCTTATACTGCATCTCCATGTATGTTTGCATACTTCAATAAAGCACTGCAAATATCAAGAAGTTAAGGGTGGCTCAAGACTTTCTGCACAGTACTAGAAACTTTAAAGAGATTAGTACAACTCTTTAACCAAGTTTAAGGGATCTTCATAAAAATGGCACTCCTCTTAAGTTAAACTGTAACAACTGATATGGGTGTCAGGGCTTCAACTGAAATTTGATTGTTCAGTTTGTTAAGGTTGGGCTTCCGTTTTCTCTCGAGCAGATTTATTACCACACGGTCTCATGAAATGTGATAAAAAGACACGTCCTAAATAGCTAATGCTACAGTGGGCTTGATAGAAGAAGGAAAAGCATTTGTAGGTTATACAGGGCTACGACTTTATCCCTTCAGTAAATCACCTTAAGAGGGTAACACCTATCAGTGCTGATCTCCATATGTTAGTCAACAGTTGCAGTTAAAATGACCACCATTCTGCTTCAAGCATAGACACAGTAGACACCGACACGAAAAGAGAATGAGCAGCAAACCAGCTGTTTTCTTTTACAACTGTACCTATAGTAGATACATCAATGCCTGTCTGGATACAGTGGTGGTTATAGAATCTCAACCATTGCAAAGATACGTCTCAGAAAATGACAAATGGTCTCCTGTTTATGTTTTTCCAGAAGCTAATCAGCAGTCAGTGCAGCAGATTCACAGCTAGCAGGTGTCCATCACAGTGTGACTCCTTTGATGTGAGTGTTTTCCATGCACGACCCGATACGTCATTATCCTAGTTCAGATCTGTAAAAGTTCCCAAAGCTACAGCTCATCATATTTTTAGAAATGCAGGTGCCAGTGCAGTTTATCCTCAAACCTGTGTTGAACTGTAATACGATCAAATGGAAGAAAAGCCGCTGCTGCCCAGTTCTCTGCATTTCTTGGCCAGGATGTAAAAGCAAGAGGTGCATGATGTGTGGTAAGAGCCATCTGGTGAGGGTAAGGAAAGCCAGGACTGGTTGGGTGGAGAACGACAGAGGACTGAGGTGAAGAGTCAGACGCTAAGGGTCATGTTACGGAGCAGCCACTGCTGGGAACGGCTGCCATTGCAGTCTCTCAATGTGGGGACCATCTTGTCGTCCTCAGAGGGCATGTCCAAGCACTGGTTGCTATTCACATGCAGCAGAGTAAGTCGCTGGAGAGAAAAGATGAAAAAACAAAACAACAGGCAGTTACAACTGATGTAAATATATACGCATGACATTAAACAATTACAAGTTGAAGACCAACCTCCCCTGTGTTTTACAGTCATGTACTCTCAAAGATGCAGGTCATCACTGAGGGCATCAGTGTCAGCTGCCAGTGCCTCACTGCTTCAACTGTGGTCTGAAGAAAAGCTGAATCTATGCGCATCACTCAAACCAACCCTCAGATTCATTTTAACTACCAATTTCCCAAATTGTTGTACCATTGACCCAGTAAATAAACTTAAGTCTGTGCCTGCACCATTTATTAAAACAATAAAAACAGAATGACAAAATAAGGAACATAAAAAAGGGTTACCCCTCATACAATACATCTCTCACTGTGAAACGCTGTGGAAATCGAGGCTCCTGTCGGGGGAGAAACTTGTCATTGGCACTTTAACAAAAGGATGTTTCTGTGATTGACTGAGCTTCAAAAGCATCAACCTCTCTAGAGCCAACTCCCCCCCACATTCAGTGGTAATGGGAAAAGGAGTTGTTTTAATGTTAAAACCACTGCAACAAACTCGCTACAGTGTTTTCAGTTTTATCACTATGTTTAGGTTTGCAAACTCCTGTATGTTCATTGAATAGCAGGTGAAGACACATCATGAACAAGTGGATCGCATACAAAGTAAACGTAGACCTGTGCATACATTTGACCTTAACAAGGAGGTCTACTGAGGCGTTTTCTAGTCTTTAAAGCTGATTTTTGGACCATTAAAAAAGTGATTATATTCTGATTACGAATGTAAATAACACATTCTTTACACATCCCGAAATTACAAAGCAGCTTTAAAAATTAATGTAGGGTCTGTTTATACTCCGTTTTTATCTCTGTTTTGGTCTGTGCCATCAACAAAGGAAAAGATCCGGTCCTGTAGCTCCTAATTTTCACCAACCATTCACTGCAGGCCAGAAAATCAAACCAAAGAGCTGAAATGATAGCGATGTGAGGTGATAATAATGTTTGTTCCTCTGAGTGACCCTTATCACATACATGTGGTGATCTGGTCCATTCTCAGGAACAATAATAAACAGTTTTAAATATTTATTTATTCCAATTATTAAAATAACCTAGGAAAAAGAGTTTATTGTTAACACTGCAGCTCATTATATTTACTTTTTGATCAAAGTGCTACAGTATAATAGGCACCATTAGCACCAGCAGTAATACTGCTGGTGCTTGTTAGCACTGACCACATCACGATTATTTATTCAACACCATGCTTGGGATAAACTGTGTTTTTATTGTTAATGCGACACATTATAGCAGCATCTTTTTTCAGAACACATAAGTAACCAGGTATCACGAGGAGAAGAAAAAGGTTACAATGTGACATTAGTTGCAACAAATATCTCTACCCTAATGATTGTGTGTGTCTTAATCAGTACACCACAATGACCGCCTCTCAGTTGCAAATTGTGTAAAATCTGATAAAAATTTTCCATTTTTGTTACTATGGTTGCTGTAGCTCAGGAGGTAGAGCAGATCATCTACTAATCAGAAGGCTGGTGGTTCGATATCTGGCTCCTCCAGTCTGCATGCCGAATATCCTTGGACAAGATAGTAAATCCAAGTTGCTTGTATGGATGGGTGAATTAGGCAAGTTGTATAAAGCACTTTAAGTGCTCAGTTAGAGTTGAAAAAAAACCTATATAAGAACCAGTCCATGTATTAGCAGTGTGTCACAAAAAAAAAAAAACAATTTGTTGCCATTTTTCAGCTGATTCAAAGACAACACAGTTTGACAGCATTAAATTGCATCGCCAGGTGTTTCATCGGATTTGAGGTGTTACCTCCTTTGACAGTATCACAGTATCAGCTTAAAGCACTTGTTGCAGGCTGCTGAGTTTGCATCTTTTGCTGTGAAGTACAGCCAGACTTTTGACCGCTTCGCCTTGGGCATTTTTAATCTGTAGCTCTGCTCTAAAAGAACGTAGGTACCTGGACCCGCCTACTATCCTCGGAAACGTAAAATGATTGGCTAGAATCTAAAGTGTATCACAGCTCAGGAAATAAAGCACTGAAATAAAGCACCGTAATAAAGCACCGAAATGTGCGCTGCTTTTCGGTCTGGTTACTACCGTTTATGTCAGAACCGGTGCCATCATGGCACCGGACACCGGTACCCATCCCTATCAACAAGGTGATTTGTAAAGAGTTATTAGCAGAAAACCTGCCATATTTGAGCAGGGTGTGCAGTGTGTCCTTAAAATTTTTGAGGAAACTAGACAAGTGAAGGACAAAAGAAGTGGCTACAGCAGATTCACTGTATTTGTCGTGTCCTTATAAAATAGGGGGGGGGGGGGGGGGGAATCCAGCAAAGACCTGACACAGAACCAGAGAGATGTATCTGGCCATTGAACTGATCCATCTCTTGTTCACTGACACATCATAAGAAATTGTTTGAAATTGAGGCAGAGAAGATAAAAGGCCAAGACATGCCAAATTATATTTATAGAGTGATAAATCCAGTTTAGAAAATTTAGGTTCAAATCATCATGAACAGAGGAGTTCAGGAGAAAGGTACAACAGGGAGTGTCCACAGTTATGTATTAAACATGGCGGAGGATCGGTCATGGTTGGGGGTTCAATTCAGCCAGTGGTGCTAGGGACCTTGTCAAAATAGATGGAATTATTGACACCGAGAAGTAAAGTCAGACTCTGACCCACCAACAACTATAAGGCATCTGATTGGCAGCAGCTTCAGTTTTCAGCGTGGACTCAAACACACTGCAATGCAGTAAAAGCACGGAACAAAAGAAGAGCTTTGACTGTCCTTCAAGAGGCCTTGAGAATTATTCCTAAAGACTACTTTAACACAGAGTGAACTGTCTTAGGCAGCTTCCATGTCATTTTTTAAAGTATAAAGTCAGTAACACCAAATATTGACTTTCAAGCTCATTGCAATTGCTCAAACTTTGTTGTTGCCTTATAAACTGTATTTCTATGTATGTTTGCACGTTTTGAGAATCACTGCACTTAGTTCCCTTTTTCCTAGCAAAATATAAAGAAATAAGAGGTTGCTCTAGACTTGCACAGCATTGTATACCAGTAAAAACACCTGTACAGAACTAATGAAGGTGTGTAACTGCAAAGCTTATCATTATAGAAGTATTTTAATAACCTTACATTTCTCACAGTGGCTTCATTACACATCACAGGCCAAATATGCCATCATCTGCTAACTAAATTGACCGTGGGACAAGTTGGATTGGGCTCTGTCTAACTGGGCTCAGGTGACAATGACTGATTAACTGGCTTTCTTCATGAAAGACATTTTAGTAAAATAATGATGAGTGAAAACCATTTACACTCTCAGGGATCTGGTACTGTGCATACTGGCTCACTGTCACAGCTCATCAAGACACTTAAATAGAACAGGGTCCCCGTTAATGTAATTACAGTATTCCTTCTCCTGCTCCACTCCATCGCTCGTGTCTGTCCTATGTGATGCTTTTTCGTGGAAACCAGAAAGGCTAGAAAACAGGACAAACTGGACCAGACTGGAAATAACACACCTGTTGTGATGAGCTCGAACTCAAGCACCACACAAGTGGTATGTACCACAGGAGAGAATCTGTGGCTATCTGCCACACGTCACCAGAGATAACACCCCCCACTAACAACTGTGAGAGAGCCCTCAATAGCCTTGATTAACCATTTATGTTTAAACCCTCAGTAGTAACATGCTTCCGCAATTTCATTCCTCACTTGAGTTGCTTTTCTCATCCTAATGATCACATGCAGAGGAGTAGGGGACTTGAGAGTTGGTTTGTAAAGAGAAGCAGAGCCTCTGCAGAGAAAAACAATGCCACGAGAGAAATTGGGAAAATTATGTTAGGAGCTACAAAGATGCCATGTAATATATGAAAATGTATAAGCGTATAAATGAAAACCAAAACAGAGATAGCCTCAGGTTTAGCAGTTTGCAGCTTAACACAATGTTATATTGGCATAAAAAATAAAACGCAGGTGAACAAGTAACCTAAAAATACATCATGGCATAAAAACTGGTCATTAAGCATGATTTGGGGGTTTTTAAATTCTGCAATCGAGGCATAATTCTTCATTAAAACAAGATTGTGCTTTGACAGTTAACAGAGGATATTCAGACTAATGAGCTCACGGAGACGCTCAGGCCATGTTTGATCTCAAGCTATAAAACACAAGGGCCCAACACTATCTGCCTGGATACAAAGAAGTGCATGCAAACACAGCCACACACACACACACCTTTCCTGAAGTACACATTGCAGACTGCCCTACAGGGCACACTTGTTCAAACAGAGTGAGAACAAAGAGAGCAGGTGGCACACAACCTCACACACCTGTCTAAAAACAAAGGAAAAGAACAGTAAGCTTGTGCTACACTATACTTTAATTTAAAAAGTAGTTCTTTAATAGTAGTTGTAACTTCATAGCAAAGTTCTCCCTAAACTATTGAGAAGAAGAATAAAAAAGAAGCAAAGATCAACAATTTTTTCCTAATCCAGACTGAATGAATACTACATTTTTGAGCCATGCGCAGGGCATAATCATTTACAAAGCCTTTCTAAACAGCCTTAAATCATAAAGATACTATTTTTCCTTTCATTCAAAATCTAAATTTACTCCAGGGGAACATGTGGCACAAGAAAAGTATGATTTGAAAAAGAAAAAAGTTCCATGTTCAATGAAATTACTCGAAATATGGAGGCCCTGTCCTTTGCTCATAATTATTTCATGCTTGCTTTGGGGCAGAGAAAACTCCCATCTTCCTCCCAGCAAACCAAGCACAGTCTCCAGAGCAAGAAACCGAGTGTGTGCACAGCTGAGACCAGCTAATTAAATGATGACCGTTTCTAACCATAACCCAGGTTGAGGAATAGCATCCTCTTTATCACCACACAGCACACTGGACTTGCTGAAAGGCAGAGAGGTTCTTGTTTTGACGTGATCTTCTGTGCTTGCTGCTGGGGATCTAGATAGAGGAGTGGCTTTTTTGTGGGATACAAACACAGCAGATACTTTTGTATCTCAGGGCAGATTCAGCAACAGTGTCATTTGCTTTAATGGAGCCCTTCTCTTGTGTACGTGCTCCTCTCTGCTTGCTATGCTAGGAGGACGTCTGAGAGTGAACAGCAAATCAGGCCATCTAACAGCAGGTCACTATACTGCCACAACTCTGACACACACCAGCAGTCCCGGGAGCTCCTTACCCAATTTGCCCTGCTTGGACACAGAAACTGTGGCATGCTACAGTGAAATTGCTCTTTAGCGTTTTGAGAGATACAACAGTACAGGATTCTGAGGTGTTCACTCCAAATTACTCAACAGAACAGAATTGGCTACAGAGAGAATGACTGACAGACACAAAGCCTGGAAAAGGCAGGAAAATAACAACTCCGAAATGGACAGAAATGCTGAGCTGAAGAACATTCCTCACAAAAGTATGTAAATAAGAAGGCTTAGTGGTGAAAAAACACTGATAATGGGCATTTTACAATGTACATGGAACACTGTGTACACAGCTGCTTTTGGCCAATAAGAGAGTGGCCTCAGCAACTACAGCCATGAAAGATAGGTTCACAATGAAGGATCACTTCAAAAGAACTTGTAAACAATGGCGAGCCCATTTGAATAAGCTCCGCATGCAGATAATCAGCTAAAAATAAGCACGTCCTCCATCTCGGCCATCATTCATCATGTGCAGGCAGTCCAGGGGACAGCCAGTGAATTTTCACATCAAAATATAATATTTATTTTGGAAAATAAATGTCAATTGAGATGTAATTTAGCAAAAAGATTAGCTAAAGGTCTTCCAGATAGCATCTTATACAGAGAAGCATCTTGACAGGACATCTGTCATTGTGTAATGAAGCTCTTCCCACATCTCTGTGCACTCCCCCCTTGAAAGGTCACCAATAACAAAAAAGTGTTAATGCTTCCTAAAACACATGCACATTCAGGCGTACACCTGGAAGAACCACAAGTCTACTCTCACTGACAAAAATCAGAAAATCAAACATACTCTCAAAACAGCCAAAGTTGCCTATTACAGCCCAAACAGGTCTAGTGAATTCTAACAGTGTGAAACTACATTGCTACAGAGCAACTATGATGACCACCAACCTCTAATTCTACACCTAACTTGTGCTAATCTGCTCACCTCACGCCCCCCGTAGCCCCCGAGAGCAGACTTGAGTTTAGAGAAAATAATCCGTGGGACTGAAGTAGAGGTGTCTAGCGACCTCCAGACGAGTGTAGTTGTGGAGGATCCACGACTGTATTGGACTGTTGTTACAGTACTCCACAGTGGGGCCATAGGTGCCGTCCTCCAGACGGCCGATGGTCAGACATGATTGGGTGATGATGTGGAGGAAGGTGTGCTTCTGCAGTGAGCCAGGAGGGAAAAGGGACAGATGGTTTTCAAGGTAAGTCACAGAGTCATAAAGTAATTCTTAAACTGATGCGTCTGTTCTTCGCAGTAAACTTTCCCAGACACTGACTAAATGTCTGACTTATTTGGTCCATTTCTTGTTTTATATAGTTATTAGATGGACCATATCTTCATAAGCGATATGGGTCATGTTTCAAATTATTCATGTGACTATTGGCTCAGTCACCCACGAAAAAAGGTAACAGGATGGCAACCTCCTTGCATCAAATCAGTAGCAACAATCACTTGTAGGCAGATCTCATTGATGCAGACAGATTGGCAACACATTAAAATCTGTCTGCATTTATGAATCTGAGTGTGTTTGCACCAATAAGCGCTTGCCCATTGAAAGTCTCCTGGTTAAATTCCTATATAAAAGCAAGCAGAGTGCCTATGTCATTCTTTAGTTAAACTGCCATCCTGCAGCAATTACGTCACAGTTTAATGTTTAATATAAAGGTGCCATATTCTGCTGATTTATCACAGTGAATCCCTCTGTTCTCACAGATTGCATGTAACTGCCAACTTGACCCCATTCAATGGCAGACTGTTGACAGTCTGATAGGAGACCCACTTATTTTTAATAGACATCTTGATGCACAAAGTGGCTTTGGGGTCAGCAACTGACTGCAAGTAGTTGCAGGCCTGGTTGCTGTCTCCAAAGCAACCACTTGAAAGTCTAGGAGGTTGGTTTCAAAGTTCAAACCCCTGAGAAAATGACCACATCAACAATTTGAACATGTCCTTACAATGAGGCAGACGATATTTGCCAAAATTAGCACAATGCAAATAATTTTGGGGGGCAATTTATAAAACGAGATGGACAATTTAAAAAAAAAAAAAAAAAAAAAAAAAAAGTTAGATGACATGTTTTTACTAAATATCTATGTTCTAATTCGTGGCAGGGCGTGGTCGGCAGGGAAAGCGGACCCAGCCTGCACAGGATCGCAATCACGCCTCGCCAACTTAAGATCGGTATAGAGTCCTGTTGTGGTGTTGCTGTTGTTGTTGGTATGTGGCTGGCAGCTGGGAAGCTGAGCCGACTTGTGTGAGCTTCAAGCGTAATAAAGAGAATGTCCAACAGTGGTGAAACGCGGTCATGTCATGCCCCTTACCTGCAGGAATTTGAGTTTATCTATTTGATTCTCCCATTTTACTCCCTGATACAGCCTGTGGCTTAGTGTGCCTCACTTGTAAATAGCTATTCAATCAATATGCCAATCCATGCCTCAAACTCTTTATCTCCAATAAACTCATTACTTGCATTTTGCTGCAATAGTTCAAGTGTGAATTAAATAACGATTAGCTCAAATATTTTAAGTCTTAAAAAAATAAAGAACATTCTGGGTTTCTTTAGCCAGAAAACTGGCTGGAAAAAAAAAAAAAAAGTTTAAAAACTACATTAGACTCTACTAAAGCTAAAACACAACTTGACAAGCACAGCAAAGTTAAAAAGTACAGATAAATTGGTGAAAACTTCAGCGCACTTAGAAATTTTGGCTATCATGTGTTTGAGTGGGATATCCATGCGAGGGAAAGCACAGCAAATAGAACTTATTGCTGGCTGAAACAGCAGAGTAGGTGAACAGGAAAGTGGATGTCGGTCACAACTGTAAATGAATACAGGAGGAATATGGAGAAGCCAGGTATTTCTGTGAAAGTGAAACTGATGACCAGATGAAATGTTAATGGTACTGTAGTCATCCAGGATTCAGTCCCTGTCAGTCACACCTGGGCTAAAAATAACACCGGCTACTGACAGCGATGAAACCCCAGAGCTGTTTACAACAGAGACCGGTCCTCTTCGTTATGAATTATTCATTTTATTCTCTTTTTTTTCCCCCATTTTAAGGAAAACACACTGAGAGCAAAGTGTAATGAAAGGATTTCTCCATGGATTTGTTCAATGCTCGATGGAAAGGCCTCTGAGCTTCCTCACTTTGTCATACCGCCATGTCAGTGATAGGACATCTCAATCACTCATAGACAACTCTGCATGCGACGCTGCCTTGTCTAACCATCTCCCAGAGGATTAAAAATGCATAAATTGTTCATATAAAAATGCTTTTTGAGTTGTGTAATCCATAATGTATTTTGATGTATTCTAAGGAAACAAGGCTTGAGAAGAATATTTAGTTTTCCTATGAGATTCAAAATGTCTTTGTTTCCTGCCCACAACATCTGTTTCTTCATTTGACTGAATATCAAAAATGCAAGCTTATTACTGCTTGCATACCCAGGAATATTAGGTAAAGTGAAACCCTGGTGTTCAATATGCAGCGTCTAGCTTTGTCAATTATATTTTCTAATTCAGTGCTATTGCAAAAGGAAAAGACTTTGATACATACATATATACACATATAGAAATACCTGTAATGAGCAACACAGCTAAAAAAAAAAAAAAAAAAAAGAAAAAAAAAAAAGACATAAGGTTATTATTTTTTCACCTCACCATTTTGCACCTAATGCATGCAATCATTTGTCTTTGATATTTGTAGGTGATACTTGTGTTTTGGTTTGTTTGCTTGTTTTTGGGGTGGGGGGGGTGGGGTTATAGGTTAGACTTCAGTTTCTCTCTGCGATGTAAATTATTTGGTGACTTGATTGTTCTGCTGCACATACAATATATTTGTCTACAAAATATAAAAGGATAAATTGCAATGCGTGATTCCAGGTCACCGATGTAGAAAAAGACTTCAGTACACATCCAAAAAATATATTTATATAAACGATCTACCGTACTAAACACTAACACTTCAGCGTCCACACACTCATACTCACAATACTAAATCACAATGTGGCACTTCAGGAGGGACAAATTGAACAGCTTACCTCAAAATCATATTCCCACTTGCCAACATACTACATAATGAGACCAGAAAAGAGAAACAGCTGCTGGGTTGAAATAGCAACTCAACTTCCGTGGTGCTTTAAAAAAAACAAAACAACAACAACAGCACACAGCACCATCTTGTGGCAGAAAACAGTCATTCTAGTTTTCCCACGACCAAAGATCCTCAGTGTCCTATTGCTCATGAAATTACCTTTTGACAGGTAAAGGTACAAACGTTAAATTGAGGAACAGGGGAAAAGAATGGCCACTTGCTTTAGAACCCTTATTTTGAATTATTTGGATCCTAAAAGGGCCACAGATCCTACCTCAGCATCGTACTCAAACATCTGATTGCCCTTCATGTGGTGACACTTGAGCATGACAACAGGCCCGTTGAGGCGGGAGACATCCAGGCAGAGGTCATCTGTTCTGATTTCTTTATCCGCAGTGTACGAGAACACCTACAGGAAGAGGTTTTATTTAGCTCTTGAAAAATATCAGTAACATCAACATCACAAAAAATAAAACAACAGTATTGTAAGGGGTTTTAGGGATAGATGACTAAACTGTAAATATTTTTTAAACCTTAATTTATTTTTTATTTTTTATTTTTTGTTTTTATTTACACTCCAGAGCTTTTTAAAAATTTATTGTGTACTTTATTGGGCATTTCCAGGATGTTCTACAGATATTTTTTATACAAGACTGGACAGATATTCTGTCTTGTGTGCTGCAGAAAAAAAAACTATAATGAGATTCGAGTATAAAGAATATTGATTGGACCAAAGTGAATTCTGGGTTAGAAATCTTTGAGTCTAATCAACACTGGGCTTCAGAAATGAGAGAGAGAAAGCATTGTATTGAAAATCTGCACATTGACTTAGAAGTTGGAGATTAACACACTCCTTGCTTCCAACCTGAAGTCAAGTTTTTGGGCAAGATAATGTACTGCTAGAGGCTGCACTTTAAAATTAAGTACACCCCATGATTTAGTAGCTTGGAGAACCATCTTTAGCAGTAATAATTTGAAATGATGAGCAATAATTTGAAATCATTATTCTCTCGAATCACTGTGGAGAAATTGAAGTTTGTTTCTGCGCAGCTCTCTTAAGCTCCTGCCATAACATTTCAGTCAAGTTGAGGTCTGATTTGACTGGACCATTGCAACACCGTGATCATTTTATTTTTCAGTCCTTCGGCTTTAACATGCTAATTGAAGCCTGGATGGTCTGAGATCTAGTTCTTGGGATTGTGCTTTAAATATCTTTAAGTATTACATGCCCTGACCTTGGAGTAAATTTGTTGGCATGTCTACTCCTGGGAACATTGTGTTAACACCTAAATGCTCCAGATCAGCAAATTATAGAGGTGCTCACACCTGCTAATGATCAATTAATCAAGTATGTTTAGTTAGCAACACCTGGCTGCTACCCAAGTAGAACGCTTAAGGCTGTGCTTAGTTTCATTCAGATTTAAAGTTACATTTGCAAATTCTATTATAATATAGACAATAGTATTTCTTTTCACAATTAAGCATAATACTCTCAATACAGTATTTCCTGTTATCTCCTCACCTGGTTTCCACCCATGCCATGGCAGTTGAAAAAGCCAACCTTCTCGTTCTCCTTTCTCCCCATGTTGTCCATACACTGGTTGGTTTCAACATTTCTGATCTATAGACAGGAAGTTCAGATTTACAAATAAGAAGTACAAGTTTATTAACTTTGTAACACTAAAGTCTTAAAGGGTTACATCATAGCATTTTATTTATGTTTCTTTTGACAACAGCTAGGCTACAGGAACAGGAAAAAACATACATTACCAGAATAATGACGTCCCATTTAATACATCAATATAAAAAAAATTCCTTTTCTAAGTCCTTGTTTTTTGTCCTCCCTTATTGTTTGAATTCTTCATCCAAGGATCTCTTGTGCAAATTGATTATCAATCACTACATCTTAAATATTGTCTTCCAAAGAAATTAATCTGTTAATATATAATTAGCAACAGCATTTTAGTTCACTCAGTTGTACTGAGTATCTTTAGGGTTTGATTAGTTTTTTAATTAACCTTTTAAACCCAAATATTTGATCCATGAGTTTTGGAAACATACATCAGTGTTTTGTTTTTAATTCTTTGTCAGAAGGTTTAATAATCACTCGATTTCCAAAATCTTTAATTTTCTGGCAATTATTTCATGGTTCAGGCTTTAAAGGGTTAAAAAATTAACCTATTTCTTGGCATTTGATAAAATAATCATATAAGCAAATAACAGAGAATAATGTTAGTTGCCACCCCAGGTTTGCAAATATTGCAGCATCACTAATGCTGAAACCACTTTAAATGCAAGTCACAGATTTAATGATGCTTTCTTTTTGGAAACTGGAAAAAGTTTGTCACCATCTTCCATAAATCCTATAGCTAAAATCATGTATATACCATGTCACTGAGTTAATTTAGTCCAACCTCTGCTCATTATATCCACTTTTAAAGATGAAACTGAGCTAAGTTGACTGCACACTTCTCAATAAGCAATTATCACAGCTCCTACTGACTTCCAGTCAACTCAGCTATCTAATGAACTCCTACATTCACAGAGCTGAAGCGGAGCTGACTATGTATGTTGCCTAAGCCATTACCATGCCTATCATGCAGGAACGGAATGGCATTCATAATAATTAAGTGATATAAAACCTAATGGTTCCGGCTGTTAAGGAAAGGCTGACTGTGTGTTATGGGGGATGAGAATCAGCCAGAAGTAGTCTGGTTTAGAGGAAAATGGAAAAAAAAAAAGGTGCTGCAGTGGCTAAAGGGAGATAGAGAAAACCAGTTTTTACTGCAGTATAGGAGAGCAGTGCAAAGGACAGAGAAAAGTCCCCTCATCCTCAGCTGTATGAGTGTTAGAGGATTACAACCTCATTTCACACTCAGTTCTTAGACTGACATTACTTTTACATGACCTTCATCTATGTCCAGATAGCACGGCCCATGTTAGCACTGAGTTGACCCCCGCTTCAATGCTTCCCACACAAAGCTATGTTCATCAAGAAGCTGATTGTGGTCACTTTAAAAAAGCAGAAGGGAAATAACTAAAAAAAATCTCTCGTAAAATAAGCTGTGTCAAAACTGTAAATGAGTAGTTATCAAACCATACTACATGCTTACAATTTCTACATATTAACAACCCTATGAAAAATCTGATTTCTAAGGTAGGTACTCGGAAACAGTCTTTTTTTGTTCTTTAAAGAGCAGAATACAAAACTATCTAGAATGCATACACGAGCTTTATCTCACTGCCTCAACATGTGGGGGGGATCAATACCGACTCCTTGAACAGCCAAACGTCTGTTTATTATGCACGTTCAATACAAACTTGGTTGTTTGTTTTTCAGCTTTTTTTAAGCCTTTCCTAGATCCTGATATTTTCAGGCTATATCTCACAGAGATATTGTCTTTCTGAAAGAAAATGAAAAAAATGAGGCCAGGCGCTAAAAGGATATATCTGACTGAACGCAGAAGGAGCCGGTGTATGCGATACATTATAGAAGATTAGAGTATAAGAGAGCTCATACTTCACCAAGAGAGTAGTATCTTCTTGGGATCTGGGAGTCTGGGTAGATGTTCTCTAGATACCAGGAAAACGGTTTGCACTTTAAGGCTTCACGGAGGGTTTTGCGAGAGGAGACGTCTCCGTACTCCACCCGCATCACGCCTGCAAATGAAATGTCAAGACAGGAAATGCAGCCATATGTATCAGTGAACATCATCCGTCACATTAAGAGACACATTTTCTGCTCTGAAAAATAGGATGGTTGTGTCTGTGCACCACCGAGACCCGACACCAGAGGGAACCTTTATGAAGGGAAACAAAGCGCTTTACCTGAAAATATCCCAATCATAATGTTAGCCTGCAATCCCATTTACAAACAGTGTAATGTGGAAGATGCATCTCCTTCAATAGCGCACAAGTGCAAAAGCTGTGCAATAACTGTGGGCCATGATGTAAGTCACTTTAGCCAAATGTGAACTGCCTGATGTATCAGCCTTGATGAAACTAAAGACTAAGAAAGGATTAGACAGCGACTGGGCACAGACACTTACAAACACATTAGACAGATGGTTTCTTCCTAAAGTGCCGCTTGAGGACTCGTAGCTTGAATGCAGATAGACTCAAGGTGGTAATTTAATATGAAAGAGCATGATTGCAATGAGGGAAAATAGAGGACAGCTTTCAAAAACCAGTCAACATGTAAGACGTACAGCACTGTATGTATGTATGTATCTATCTATCACACATAACTAAGATATTGCAAACAGCTTACCAATACCATCTCAGGCTTTAATGTGGGAAACAGAAATATCAAGTTGGCAGATAAAAACAGTGAGCTGAAGGCTACTTTTCTCTCCCTTTCTTTTTTCTATCTGCGGGGGCTAAGCATCACATATTATAGCTCATGATGAATAGCCTCTTAGATCCAGTGCAGAGGAAGGACAAGGAAAGGGGTACACTTTTAATAGGATCACCAGATGCCACTCCCAAATTCAGCCTGAGCAACCTACTGTGCTCTTCTCCACCAATAAGGGAGGTCTGGCAGCAGCACAACCCAGATCATTCTCCCTAATGTCCTGGAGGAACAGACAGTCATCGCGGGGCCACAATATACAGAGAATCATCCATCACAGCCCTGGCTCTGTCTGCACACATGCCCGTGGAGAATCCTGCCTGACTGAGAGGAAGAGAAGGTCACAATTTGTGCCGTAAGATCGAAAGATTGGGGATGATCCCTTATAGGTTGGCTGGCATCTAAAACAGTTAACCCGAGATTTCTGGGATACCGCTTCCTGCAAAAGGGTAATCACATTACTAAGTCGACAGATGGAGGGGTACTCATCTCTCAATCTGCACAGTCGTATTGTTCTAGTTTGTCCATATGTGTTTGAGCTCTGTTTGAAAGATGGCCGTTCGTGACTAATTTCTGAACCCAAGTTCAAGAGAGCACTAAAAAAAAAATGTATCTGAGAGAAGGAATTAATTAATCCCACTTTGAAGATGGCAAAGCTGCATTAAATTCAAATATAAAAGTAAAAGAAAATGTACATTTGCATAAGAATAAAAAAAAAAACCTTGCAAGAGAATGAAAGACTAAAATGGAAGTGACATGTCTTTCCTTTTACACCAATTTGCTAAATTAACCACACAGGGGTCCAGCAATGAGGTTTGTTCACGTCTTCCTTTGACCAGCAGTGCACACTGAAACCTTTTTTATAACATGTAAAATCAGCAGAGCTGATTTAAACTCTTGGTTTTCAGTTTTCTGCATCATTTTAGTGGCTGAGAGTAGTAGTGACATGGTGGCGGTTTCATTGCTCTGTACCTGGTGATATGATATAAAAGAAGTCTTTGAAATCATCCATCCAGACTTCGGCCAGGCGCCTGTTGTTCTTGTTGATGACTTGGCCCGTTCCTCCAGGGAAACTGTATGGGGTGGCCTTCCGGAAAACATGGCCCACATGTGAACATGTTACAATTTCCAAGGAGCCACCGCATTGCCAAATCTGCAAGCGTAGAGACAAGGCAGATTTATGTAGTATGTGACAGGAAAGCAGACAAATAGGCTGGATAAAAACTGATGAAACAGTCAGTGAATGCTTGTTCCCTTTGTTCTACCCCCTTGATGCTTAGGTGACCTACATAAATGATAACGTTTGTTACCAGTAAAAAGATTTGCTCTTAAATTTTAACAGCGTACCATCGTACCACACACACACTTACTGTAGATCTGTTTGTGACTAGATGCTGCAGCTCACAGGCATGCCTTATAACAGCACTTCATGTTTTCTGATTACTAACGACAAGCTGTGACAGGAAGACAAAAACACCTTCTATAAACTGCCCTTGTCATAGTTTCTGGTACAGTAAGTGTCCCCAGAACTAAATTTTCAATGATAGCAAATTCAGAGAGACTCATGAGGTGAAGTACGAACCACACTATCACTAACTGGTAATAATAACATATACTTTTTACAATAAACTGTACAAACATAAAGCAAAGAGACTAAATATTTTTCCCTTATGTTTGTGTAAGCTCAAAGCTAAGTACACACCAACATGTAATATGAGCACACACATCTAAGGCTTTCATGTGATGTCAGTTCCACATCTGCAAGGTTTCATGAGTACATCCTGTACAGTTGTGACATTACAACAATGACAAAAATCTGTCCACAGATGTCTGCCAAAGTGCTCAAACCCATCAATGCACAATAGTACATTTGCCAGGATGATGCACAAAGAGAGACTCTCACAAAAAAATCAGCAGCAGCAACCACATGGTTGCAGCAGGAAACAAAAAATGTTTGCAACAGTGTATTTTTTTATTTTTTTTATATTTAGAAAGATCATCCAATTTTATAATATCTATAAATATCTATAAAAAGGGAACATCAAAAGGCAGAAACATGTGCTGGTACACAGAGAAACCACTCACTCTAAAAGACATTTCCAGGTTTTCTCCTCCCCAGATATCCATCCCTGGATCGTAACTCCCAATTTCTTCAAAATACGTCTTGTCTATAGAGAATAATCCTCCTGCCATGGTGGGAGTCCTGCAAAAAACATAAATTAAGGCAACAACACAAAACCTTTTTGTAATATTTCATTTCCTCATACTGAATTCGTTAGCATCTTTTTGTAACTAAGAGGAACATTGAGGATATAATAACAGGCCAATTTGTTTGACAATTTGAAACAAAGCCTTAGAGGGGCAATTACTTTTATCTTTTAATTCATTCTATACTCAAGTCAGTCCTAAATAAAGGATATTGTTTGCTGCTTGGAGTGATTTGCATACAGATGAGTTTTGTGAAGCCAAAAAAGGCAGCTCTAAGCAGTTTCTATTTTCCTGTTTCAAAATACATGGATGCTTATACTACAAAGAGAAACATCACAACTCTGTGGATGCCATTTAGGCAGAAGCTGGCATCAGTGGGACACAGAGGGAAAGATGATCTATTTCTAGCTCTAGATAAAAATGGAGCTTTTTATAAAATAATATTTTGTAGAGAAATTTAACTTTCAGCATTTCCTCTGTAGCCTGCTGTACAGAAAAAAAGCTGCATTTAATTAAGCTTACAAAATATTTCCAACTTTTTCAGCGTTTAATCTGATCTCGCCTCTCTTATTTCAAGACGATATGCAAGTGCAAAGCCACACACAGATGTACCTGACAGGGAGTGTTCTATCCCCTTTGCGTCGATCCATCTCCCGCTGGGGAACAGGATACCATCGAAAATTCAGCTTCCAGTTGAATCCACCGTAAGTCATATCAGAGCCTGCCATGTATTCAAATGTCTCGTCGCTGATGACATCTATGATAGGGCACACCACTGCAGTCCTGAAACACACAAAGTGCCATAATGTTCACATGTATGATGAAACAGGCTTGACTGAAATGAAGCATGTGGTTCATTATCATATTCAACGTGCCTCAACATCCCACCATCATAAAATCGACCGCATACTGTGAAGAAATCAGGTTCTGGGTTGTAACTGCAAATTCTATGCACACCATGCCAGCAACTAGCTATTACTCACATTATTAAATGTTCTGAAGAAAATGATCATTAATCGTAAAGCGCTGCAATCAGCTGAACATTCACGTTTTGATTAATCAATTAACTGGTTAGTCTTTAAAAAGTTACAAGAAAATATGAAAATTAAATCATCAAATGTGTTGTTCTCCTTTTGTCCACTCAGCTGCTGTAATATAAACAACATTTCTGTAAAAACAGAGATGAATCCCTGTTTCAACTTATGAAATACGAAGTCAAAACAGAAGTCATTTAAACCCTAAACACAAAATAAAGACAATATATTGAATATTAGGTGGAATATATAATAGCTTAATATGTTGAATTTATATCTAACAACATTTTTAAGGTGGAGCTGGGGGAATGAGGATTGTGTAACAGTTTGAAGGGCAGAATGACATTGTGTTTTAAAGGACAGGGATCTGAGAGGCTGATTGGCTTTGGAGAAGGAGTCAAGAAGATTACGGGATCAGAGGGGATGACGACAAAATTAAGAATGAGTGGAATTTAAAATAGTGGGAAAGCGGAAGTGACCAAAGAAAAGATCAACAGTGACAACAAAAACACCTAGAAAAGCAGGCACATGGAATAACACAATAATTTCATTTCTGAAATTATGCAAGCAATATTCAGAAAATCCGGGGAGATCTCGGTACACAAGGGACACGGAGAAAACCAATATTGAAGCTTGAATATTTTGAATTTGCCCTCAGGCAACACTGCAGTAGAAAAAAAACAAACAAAAAAAAAAAACAACAGCTACAATTCTGTAATGGAAATCACTTCACGGGCTCTGAAAATCATTGCAACTGAACGCAATTTTATCGCAGCTAAAAATTTACCATGCAAAGAAAAACGGAGCCCGAGCTCATTTAAGATGGATTGAGAGGAAGTAGGCAAACTGTCAGGTGGTGTGATGGAAATCACAGATCCTACATCCTATGGGATAAAGAGGAAAAGGACCACCCAACTTATTACCAGCGCAGTTGAAAGGCTAAAATCTTATGGGATATATTTTTAAAAAGATATATTCTATGTTTTATATGCTGCCATCCAGACAATGTCTATGTTTATTTGATCGAGACAATTTTCTTGCATGCATTACAACAGCACAGTAAGACTGTAGCTACCCCACAATAAGAGGTTTTATTTAAACATTTTACATATTATACATTGAACAAAATCGAACACAGGACCACCGAAATTCTTGGGCAGCTGACAAACAACGATAAACATTCTCAGTTCTGTGTGTTGGAAGACAATGTAAATACAGTTTCTTGGAATCCCTGCGTTGTTTTTATTGAAGGGCGGTGCAGATGTGTAGGAAGTATGGTTGCACAGGTATTATTTTGTAAGATAAATGCATGTACTTCCTCTCAGGATAGTCACAGACAAAATTATTTCTTTATCAAAAAGAGCAGGTCTGGAAATTTAATCTTTGAACATACAGTGTAATTTCTGCACCATCTCAACAGTCTGCACTCAGACTTAAAGACATCAATACATGTGCAGCAGCATTCAGTAAAAGTGTAATGGCTCCATAATACAATATTCGGAGTCATATGATACCAATTTCCTCCTGAGGGTAAATTAATGTGTCTGACCTCAGATAAGGTAAGAATCACAAGAGGATCATCATCATTCATTACTGTCACACAGAAACAGTGGATGGCATAAATGTGTCTACAGAGCATGGGCAAATGCCTTATGTAGTATCTTAATATTTTGATAAACAGCATAAATTAAATGAATTCTTCATCACTTTAAATCAAAGCTATTTGTTTAATGGCTTTACAGATGCAGCAAACTCAAACCTTTGCCCACTTAATACAGATACTGCGTAAGTCATATAGTGTTGACATGATGACGGTGTTAATTGTCATGGTCCCAGGATTCTTATTTGTTGGTGGTTTTGTTTATTATTACAGTTTCTTTTTTGATGCTGTGATTATTTTGCTTTAATGACTTTCTTGTATAACTTTACTGAAATTTCCCAGTATTTGCCTTAGTGTAAAGCTGCTGTGTGTAGGTGTGTGTCTAATCTCTGCATTTATTAGCCATTTCCCTTTTTTTCCCTGTAATGATTCGTCTCCGGTGTTTTGGATTTAGTCTTACTTCCCCACCTGACTCGCTGTCTTTGATTATCTTCACCTGTGTCTCGTTACAGGGCTGTGTCCGCTTTCCCTTAATTATAAATACTGTCATATAAGTGTTGTTGTCTTCCCCTCTGTCCCTGTCTGTGATCATCACCCGGGTGGTTTTGTCTTCATGCTCTTGCGGCTTAGGTTTTGTTTCTCTTCGTGTTTTGCTCTGTGGACGTCTGCCATCAGCCTAATTAAACGGCTTACCTTTTGTTAAACCCTGCTGCCTCCTGTGTCTGTTTTTTGGGTTCTCAACCTTACACTCTACACAGTTTGCATAACCTGCAGATTGACAGAAGCTATCTTTTCCTCTGAGGTTGCAGCATAATTATTATCTCATATCAGCAGTGCCAGGCAGCGTATTAATAACTGGAAGTTTGCTTTCCCATCAGTATTCAGATAGTTTTGGCTCAAGTACCCAGTGATGCAACCAAGGCGAAATATGATAACAACTGCAGTAATAAAGCGTTTTTAGGGCTCAATAGTAACACTAAACTGTCAAAACAATAGGAGGTTTTGCAGTAGTGTGGTGCACTGCTGCAAAAACGTCAAACATATGTGTGATTTCCTATCAGTGCCTTCAAAAAAACAGCATTAAATTCAAAATACTTAGTGATGTCAATTTTAGCTCCTACCTGTCCTCTTTGATGCGAGCCAGCAGGGGCTCTAGCCAGCCAACAGTACACTCGCAGTGAGCATCAAGAAAGGTGATGACCTGACCGGTGGTGGCGGCTGCCCCCCTCAACCTGGCTCTGATTAGACCTGAACGCTGCTCCATCCTCAGGATCCTCACCGGCACCTCCAGAGTACGCACATAGTTCTCCAGTTTCTTCTTTAGGAAATCTGAAAGAAATTATGCAAAAGAAAATTCATAACAAGTTAAATATGGACAATATGATGATGAGATTTCAATCAGGTCATCAAATTATCAATTCGAGCTAGTCAGCTTATGTCCAGCTGAGATCTTATGGATTCCAAAATAAAATAATAACATTTGAAAACAAGGTTTTTAGCTACTACCTATTGGGATTATATGTCATATTTATGGGTTACAGAACTGCAAATTAAAAAATAAGGTAAAGATAGTAAGACCATAATTACTTGAGCGCATAAATATTGTTTCTTGACTCATCAGAGGTGGATGTGCCACCTAAAATAATAGCATAACCAATAAAGGAAGAAATTCTTTACTTACATGTCTTTCAATATTTCACGATTCCTTAAACTGTGATATGGCTGAATCAAAATCTGGAAACCCGACCGTTATTTCTATAATGCTCAAAAATGTACTTATCAATGTGTTTTTACTTGAGTCTTCAACATCACACTCCTCATTTGTTTTTTCCAGGGTTTAGTGAGGAGTTCTCAGAGTAAAAAACCCCAAAATTATGTAAATTTGAACCACAAACGTTCCATTTGGCTTTTTTATTAATCTAAAAGATCTTAAATGGTTATTTGAAGATTACAAGAACAAATGGGACTCACAGCCTTACATCGAAGGTTAATTGGTGTATTTATAGATTACAAACCTCGCTCGCTGGCATCATCAACTAGGATAATTTCCACCAGCAAGTGTTTAGGAGAGCGGTTGATGACGCTGTGAACAGTTCGCAGCAGCGTGCTCCATGCCTCGTTGTGAAACACGATGACAATGCTGGTGTTGGGCAGGTCATCTGAGTACACTTTGGTCTTACAGCTGACAGAGTAACACGGGGGGGGGAAAGGCAAATCAGTGACATAAGACTTTACGGAGGAAAGTTCCCTTAGATATGCAGAGTCAACAAACTAGGTGAAAAGTCAGAGCTTTAATAAACCCTATTAATTTAAATCCATATCTGCTGACAGTTAATTTAAAGAGTGTTTTTGTCCTTTGTTGATAAAATAACATTAAATTTTTATTTTTTTATAGTTCAAATATTTCACAAATATTTTAACTATACTGGATGTTTTTCATACTGATAATTATTAATATGTAATCACCATTTTACAATATATTAATCTTAGACTGTTTAGATTTTTACACTGACAATTGTTGGAGATTGCAGATTATTGTGTAACAATATGTATTACTGTATAACAAATTTTAAAAATATTATTTCATTTTTTGAAAGAAAAACAATTATACTTTTAGTCTCAAATAATTTAGTCCTGTAAAATTACAAGCTGTGACAATTAAAGTTTCTAAAAGGTTAATATATGGTAAAACTGTAATGTTACGATAGCTGATGATCTGATTATCATTTGTTATAATCTTTGATATTCTGTTTATTAAAAGGATTCATACTTTGAAAATGTATCCCAAAACTAAAATGGTCATTTACAATGACAAACATAATTTCTCAATATGTTTGAACCACTGCACAGAGCATCTAATCTGTTGCTGTACTACTACTGAGTTAGTTTCAAAATGCAGCCCATTATTTTGTATCAGAGAACATAAAGTTCCCAAGTGTTATCCAGTTTCGCCATCAGTGTAAAAACACTGTCACAATAGGTTTACTGAAAGATATTGAGAAAGAAAGTAGAAAAAGTTAAACCAGTGTTGACAGCTATGTCAGCATGTCCTTGGATTAATGTGACGTCTGTCAAAGCCAAAGGGTGTAAATGTGGGACGGTGCTGTAGTCAGTGCTGTTGAATAAAGAATTAGCTACATTACAGAAGAGGATGTGGACAGTGAAGGCAGCATGTATGGCTAGAGGAGGTGGTGATGTGGGGGAGGGGGGGGGGGGGGGGGGGGGGGGGGGGGTTACCGGAGCAGGCAGCATTGCTAGTTCTGTCCTGTCTATTCAATGTGACAGCACTGACTGACATAACTAGGCCAGGAGGCTGCCTTGAAGACATAATGCTGGTGAAATTTTGCACAGCTCAGCTGTGCGCTGTAATAAAGATGCTGTATTATTTATATGGACCCATATTGGGCAGAAATACAGAGTTCACATCATCTGAATGTTCAACTTTTTCTCTCTAATATAGATCTTCTTTTGCACTGTATAAATTTTTATGTATTGTATTTTATACAGTTTTTCCACATCCCAGACAATCTGGAGTGGTCTTCTTCTTGAAACAGGCAAAAACAGGAGCTAAAACAAAAAGAATGTAGGAGTTTAGAAAGATAATTTTGTGGCTTATTTCTCATTTGACAGGTAGAGACTCTGATAACCACTTAATGAAAAGTGCCGTGAAGAACTCAACTGGAATAGTTAAACATGAATCACTTGGATATTGTCTCCGCACTAGGCAAACGTCTGTGCATATCAGCAGCCTTAAATGAATGTGCCCATGTTTCATACAAGATGCATTTTGAATTTTCATTAGGTGTTCAAGAGGCTCTTGAATGACAGTAAACAAACCCTACTCCCATTCAAATGTCAAGCCTAATGCAAAACGCGAGGGACCTAATAGATCCTGCATGGAAATGATAGTCATTATTAAAGATATCTTTCACAGTGGGTACAGTTGTTATTACTAATAACATGTAATGGACCCAACTGTTTAAATTCTATTTAAATTATCATAAAACTTTTCTTACATTTCCTTAGTTTCTGCAGTCCTTATGAGACTAGATAAGCATCTTTCAATCAATTTGATAGCATAATTTCTTGATTTCACTTTCAGATATCATTAAGCTCTCTCTGCAGTCTCCTTCGCACTCAAATAGTCTCCGTACAGCTTCGTTCAGCTCTTGCTCAAAACTGTAAGTGCGTCACATACTTGGCTCTGGTTTTTGTGTAGCGGCTTATCACTATAAAAATTCCTCCAAGAATAAAATGCCAGATATGGTGTCGACCATGGAAGTCACCTCTGTATTCTTACCAGGCTGTTTGCTTTGAGTAGAGTGAGTCAGTCTTGTTCTATTATTCTCTGTTGCTTTCTCAGTAACTCTGAGTTAATTATATGTTAGTAAAAATCTGACAAAAAAAACCAAAAACAAAACAAGCCTCTTAGCAATGACGGTAAAAACATTATGTGCCATGAAATGTGATGGATATCAAAGATCTGCTGTTAGTGAGGACACACGAGCCTACGCACCCATCCAGCCTCACATCTGGCAGACTCCTGTTGAGTGCAATCATATCACTGGCCATCAGATTGAACTGGTTAATCTTAAAGAGCTCCTTCATTTTCTCCTGGTCATCCTTAGGGATGTTTACCGCTTTGCCCATCTCACCTGGACCCTCGTGGCTCCGTGATATCACTGCTGTAACGTAACAAGGACACCACAGAAAAATATTTGATAAGAAAACATATTTTTTCTCACCAATGAGGCAAAAAATTAACATCAAACTGCATCATAAAACAAATCCTACTGCATAAAAAAATGGACCTTGTGGAACAAGGAGAGTGCAGAAAAGCGTGCGTGTTCTATTTCTGTCCACTTTGTAAATTTTCTAAACTCATATAGCACCCAGAGCATGAAAACCTAATTTTCCAGATCAATGTGCATGTGCGTTTGATAACAGAAATAAATGTACTGGCAGCTGGTGTTCACATATGAACAGTACATCATGTTCACATTTATTACATTATTATAATACTGTATATACAAAAAAAAGTGAAAGCCTCTAAAAGCCTGTGTTATTAAAAGCAAGGAAAAATGTGTTTCTTCAAACATCAGTGCATGCTCAGCAGAGAAAAACCTTTAACACAGCGACAGTGCATCCACTCCGCTTAAGCCCTCTCCTGGTGGTTCTGGCTTAGGCTGACAGGGTATTAAGCACTGTACACTTTGCCAGCTATATTTAATTTAAAAATTTAATCTATTAGGAGGTTTTGAATTCAGAGATTTAGGCCGATGTATTAATAGGTGAAAAAAAAGCAGCATGACAGCAAAACAATTGCTACAGTTTTTGCTATGAAAGGCCTGGAAAATATCAGAATTGCTACTGGTGCTGCACAGCGCAAGCTTCTTTCACCGAAGGTAAGTAACCACCCATTGATTTATGGCTCTGCTCTCTCTCACTCTCTTTCTCTCTAATAATCTCTTAGAACAGAGGCTGTGATTTCCATGAAAGGGGGACACATAGTTCACATTAGCTGCATGGCCTCCTGCTAAGAGGATTTCCTAAGACCCCTTTGTGGAGATGGACTGGGATCGGTCGGATTATAACCTAAACTGATCCTGGGTTTTCTTTATAATGCTGCTGACACTCTTCATTTGGACACCAGCTGACATCTGATGGACACAGCTCTCGAGCTGCATGACTGAGCATCAAAACATTCTCAGCCTGCTCCAGCCATACTCCAATCCATCATTCTTTGTGTGTGGATAAACGTCCTGCTGAAAGAGAGAGAGCACCAAGCAAACCATCAATAGTAGTTTGGGTTTCTAAAGAAATTGTAGTGAAATTGCCAGCTGCAAAGCTGAGACTGTGCAATATTGCTTGATAGATGGATGGCGGCCAAGCAGCAGTGCAATGACTAAAAGCTGGAAGCTGTACAGTACAGGTTTGTGTTATCTGAAAGCTAATTTGTACTGCCTAATTTATAGCGGCTGACAAAGTATTAGATATGCTAATGTGAAAATAGGGTTAAAAGGGCAAATGAAAGGCAGCGAAAGGTGCTAAAATGAGAGTTAAATGTGTAATTATGTGTAAATTCTCAAGACCCAACTTAAACTATACAGGTAAGAGTTGTCATGTTTTGATTGTTAGCTACGAACCATGTGCACTAAACACATCCGTGCATCTTTGTTGTGAGCTTTGTGTTGGCATTGTGATTTTTTTTCCAAAGCCTTCAATGGTCATAAAGCTTGTCCTAGTGGAAAATGCAAGCTGGAAGGGACATCTTTTAATAGTCTTCCCCTACTCTGTAGGCACCAATTAGCTTCACTTCACATCATCGGTCACTTTCTTAAAGGAGCCCATAACATTTGAAGGGCCTGATAATTTATCAGTCTCTGAATTATCATACTCCCTAATGACACTTCTTGACCTGGTTTCCAAGTCCTTATCAGTTGATTAGGGCCCAACTTCCTAATGACGTTCTGAGCCCGAGTCAGTGTACGCATGGATAAGTGTTGAAACAGTCTGAACCCAGGATTTTAACAAAAGAGAGAACCTAGAGGCCTAAAGAAACACTTCAACAGACCAGTGCAATTAGCAATCTAATTAAATTGCTTGGTTTTCTAGAATATTTCCAACCTTCTGTAATGCTGTGGTAGCTAAATCAGAAAGAAAGGTTCTGGAAGAGAGAAAGATGTAAAAGTGGAATATCAGAACAGTAGCCAACATGCTATTTAGGCAATGCCAGGTAAGAGAAGAAGCCACAGCTGAGACCAACACACACGTGAGCGTGCAGATTTTGTGCAGTCATCATCACATGGCTCCTAAGGTTCCCCTGTTGTTTTCATTCTCGTTTACGTAGAAAAAGATCTGTGTAGTGTTACACAGTTGGAGTCTCCTCCTTAGGCTCAATCCATTCTTTTTCATCCAGACATTACCTCCTCTTCTTCCCTCTCCTGCTCTGCTCTGCTTCCTGCCTGGCACAGCTGCCATTTCATTAAAGATCAGAGAAGCTCCTCTTGAACACATAACCACAGAAGACCATGAACACACATCACACAGAGTGCTTCTACAAGTCTCTGATATGTACTTTAACTGTAACTCTCTCTGGTGGTACATGACAGGTAAGGGGCTTTGTTCATAGAAAGATTCCAGCCAATTAGAATTAATGTACCATCTGTGAAATGTAAGTACACAGAACTGGCTTAATTATTCTTGGCATAGATGTAACAAAGATTCCAGGAAGATTTTGGTCTATATTGATATGACAACATCACACAGTTGTTGCACATCCAAGAAGAGAATTTTCAGTTCCACCACATCCCAACGTTGCTCTATAGTATTGAGATCTGGTGACAATGAAGACCATTCACAGCTTGAGATGATCCGAGCTTTGTAACAAGGTGCATTGTCCTGCTGGAAAATGCCATCTGAAGATGAGCACATAAAGGAATAGATATGATCAGCAACAATGCAGAATGGAGATCAATCAAGTGAGACCATGCGAATTATAGGAAAACAGGCAACTGAGGCTGACTTGACAAGAGTGGCACCCGGTGTGGTCTTCTGCTTCATGGTTTGACATGTAATAACGCACCCTGATTCTACCAGCCTAAACCAGTGTGGCCATTTTCCTCTGACCTCTCACATCAACAAGGTATTTTCACAAAGACAACTGCAGCTCATTGGAGATTTTCTCTTTTTTGGACCATTTTCTGTAAAGCCAAGTTTATGAAATCTCCCCATCTGCCACCAACAACACCACCAAATTCAAAGTCACTTAGTTCACCTTTTTGCTCCCATTCTGATGATCCACTTCAGTGGGTCATCTTGACCATGTCTAAATGCACTGAGTTGCTACCACTTGATTGGTGTCATTGATTACACATTTTGTTTATCAAGCTGTTGCACTGGTGTACCAAAGCAGCCATACTCCTGATAACCTAAAACTGCCTTGTAGATATTTTTTAGAAAGAAGAAATTTGTTATGGAGACATATACAAAACTTATTTTTATATTAAACTGCAAGAGATATGAATTTTCTGTCTGAAGTTAAGCATTTTTAAATCATATTCTATAGGGAATACTTAATCGGCCTCGAGCAGTCATTCGTGGAACCCCAAGGGCTTCATTATTCAGCCTCAGAGCTTGTTTTGTCTACTTAACATACTAACACGTGCTTTATTGTGTTTTCAGCAGGTTTGCAGTACTGACAAAGCAAATTTTTCATGCAAGACTTGTTTTCACTAATGTGAATCCAAGCAAAGAACTATTTTAAACCCAAAATATAGCAGTGAATTTGTGCTAGACTAAAAATTATATTTTCATTTGACAGCTGAAAAAACAAAATAAAACAGGGGTACACTAAACAAGATAAAACTTGAAACACCTGCAGAGACATTGCAAAATCCAGTGTTTGACAGCAATCCTAAGATATAGTTCATATACACAGAAAATCCTGCGATCTTAAATGCAAAATAACATCCAATGTAACTGCTGACTTTTGTATGGTAATGAGACAGTAACTTGGAGCTCAGCATCATTCTAACCTTAAAAGCAGATTACTAAGCTTCTTAGAAACCTGCTTACTTGAGGACATGTGAGGAAATTAACTCTCCAAGAGGAAGTGTGTTAAAGTGATTTGAGCAGCACACCTTTATACAGAAAAGCACAGTTTTACAACAACAACAAAAAACTCAATTTCATCAGTTTTGTTTCATAGTCCATTGAGCAAAAAAGACACTACATCAGAAATGTCTAATTCCTATAAATGTATTAATGTTTTTGTAGTTATAAAACCAGAATTCCTACCTTTTCTTACATTACCATCAACTATTAACTGTTTCATATGTTTTATGTGTTTTTCTGCTCTTTCAGGCAAAGCTTTCCCCTCAGTGAACACTGTTTTAATAGGATTTGTCACAGATGATGAATATTTTACACTCAAGTGAAATTTTAGAAGGTATTATTGTCTCCAGCTTACATTCTCATGCATGTTTGATACAAAATAACAGGGAAATTCTGCAACATCAACTTACCTCGAAGAGCAGGGAGCAGCGAGCGGTCCTTCCTATCATCACATTTGTTACACTCGCTGAAGTACAACAGCAAGAACACATCCACCAGCACCCACACTAAAGAGGTGGTCAACACCACCTTGCAGTAGACAAACCGTCGCATCACCTCTCTAGGATGACAGCCAGGCAAGTTGATAGCGAGCACTTAGGAGCGCTCAGGCTGCCAGTGAAACATCTGAAGTCCAATGACAGGGTGAAGTAACAGGGACGAAACCAAGCAGGTTTGACCGCGGGGCATCATCCTTCAGGAGATGGGAGAAGAAAAAATAAAAAAGAGAACAGAATACTAAATTTAATGTGAAATGACATCATAATAGTTTAAGTATTCCTGCTATGAATCCAACTGATATCAATCCTTACAGTAAAATGACATAAAATGCAAAGGAGGAACTACATTAAAGTAGATCAATATTAACCTCTTTTAACCTTTCTCAGGCTTCACTTTATCAGTTCCATTGCTCTGTTAGCATCCTCTGTCAGAGGTTTCCAGTAGCTACTTAAAAGACCTGCAAAAACATTAGTATGAGTATGACCTGCTAAACTTAAGTAAAATTTCTATGATCTTTCTAAGATATTGATTGATCAGCTATAATCTAGTAATGACACTGCTTCTTCACTGTTTTAGGAGGAGGACCATTATGAAGCTCAAATATTTCCTTTTGTAATTTATTTTGTAATTGATCTACTTTTTGCTTTGAGTCATTGCCCTAGAAATGTTTAAAAATATCCAGGGGGTCTTATACAAGCTGCGATTTCTTTTTTTACTAGTAGTGGTTCAGTTTGTGGCAAAACAACAATGAAGTTCATGCATAAGTTTAAGAAGTAAGCTCTCTATTTACTCATCTGTGTGTTTGACCTGCTAGTCCATTCTTAAAACACTCGAGTCTGTCTTCATCACTTTAGCCCATTCATTTTCCCACTTTCTACAAGCTAGTGACCCACTTTTTCATGTCCTTCTGATCTCAGCGCTCTTCTATCATTCTGCCTTTCAGAGTCTCATTCGTGCGACCTGCCTCCTCCCTGCCTCCACCTAACTAAAAGATCTTCATTTAACTTTTCATTACTTCTTCTCCACCGTCACCAGCATCTGGGTTCCAGGGGATCCTGTCCCAGCATTGTTGGGACTCCACTCTGCTATATGGAGTCACTGTAAAAGTACACTGCTCTTTCAGTTCAATGGTTTTCATGTCAGGACATAATAAACATATGGTGAGATCTGCCAAAACCAGCTGTTAGTTTCTGTGGAGCAGTAAGGATGCACTTGCATGTGACACAGTGCAACAGCTGAGAGGACCACCAGGCTACACCCCATGAAAAATGATCTTGCTTGACAGTAGCCTGTTTTGTATTCAACTGTATATCACACTTAATTTTTCATTTTTTCTAAGCATGACCTCCCTGTACTGATTTTTGCAAATCATATTTTCTTCCGGTGAAGTATAACTGACAGCATATACAGACAAAAATATACTCTTCTTCAATGCAACAAATTCCTTTGTTGGATTATTTTTTCTTGTTCAGCTACATGAGTGTGACTTCAGTGTCTGATCAGGTTTTTTGATAGGAACATTTTCGTAGTGGTCCCCTACGCTTTGTTTTGGTGAACTTTGGGTCTTCGCTTACAGTGAAGAGCTTTCATGCTAACAGCATGTAAGTGTGTGGCTGTGAGTGAACACTCCACGTTTTTTATCACTATTTTTTCCACTGTCCACATGTTATGCAGGAAACCCATGAGCTACATCTCAGACTCAGTTAAATGTTTAAGTTTAAGACAATATGTTTAGAAAAAGACTGAACAAGAAGGAATGGCTTTTTCTCTCAAAAAAACAAAAACAAAAACATGTCAGCACAGCCTAGCTTTGCAAAATCTGGAACAATTTCCTTTGGACAGATGAGACCAAAGTGGAGATGGTTGCACATAACCACGTTTGGTGAAAACTAAACAGAGCAAATCAGCACAAACATGTCATGCCAGCTGTCAAGTACGGTGATAAATTGGTGATGATTTGGGTTTGTTTTGCAGTCAGAGGATCTGGGCACTTTGCAGTCATCGAGTCAACCACAAACTCCTCTGTATGCCAAAATATTCTAGAGTCAAATGTGAGGCCATCTGTCCGACAGCTAAAGCTCAGCCAAAATTTGGTCATGCAACGGGAAAATCATCACAAGCACAGCAGCAAATCTACAGAATGACTGAAAAAGAAAACAGGCTGTACCTTAAGAAAACTGTGCATGAACAAATATCTGCAAAACTAAATGAATTGAAGCAACATTGGAAAAAACAGTGGGACAGAAATCCTCCACAGTGATGTGAGAAAGTGAACATATAATACAGTTATTGTTGCTAAAAGTTGTTCTATAAGCCACTAAATCATGTGGGTATGTAGCTTTTCACACACCGATCTGCACTTCAGTTCATTTTCTGTTAAATAAATAATAACACAGCGTACTGCAATTTGTCATGTTTTATAGGTCATCTGATGTCGTATTTACTTAACTTTATGACCTGGTAACATTTACATGCTATGTAAAACCATAGAGTGTAAAACCTTAGGGCATACTTTCCTTTTATCATGACTCTAGGTTCAGCTGAGTCTAATTCACTTTAAATTATATAGCGCCAAATCACAACAACAGTTGCCGAAAGAAGCTTAATATTGTCAGGGAAAAGACCCTATAATAATAGAGAGAAAACAGAAAACCCAACAATCAGACAGCGCCCTGTGAGCAAGCACTTTTGCGACAGTGGGAAGGAAAAACTCCCTTTTAACAGGAAGAAACCTCTGGCAGAACCAGACAACCAGACAGGGGCGACCTGTTGGGGGTGAGGAGAGGAAGACAGGGCAAAGACATATGGTGGAAGAGAGCCTAGATTAATAATAACTAATGATTAAATGCAGAAACGTGTATAAACACATAGAGAGTAAAAAAGGTGAGTAAAATAATAGCCAAATAGCTTATTACTCAAACTCTGTGCTTCTATAAATCACGGTCAATTCTCAAGCAATCTTTGCTTCTCTACAGGTGTTTAACTTTACTGCAAACATTTTCTAATTATAACTAATAATGATGAGCAACATATGAGACAAATAGCACTACACATAGTATATTTTCTTCATACACGGTTCTCATTTTCTATTTCCATTCTTTATTGCTTTTACAAGAATAATAAATAAATAAAAATTAAAAACTGAGGAATGAAGGTCAAATCCAGTCTCCCACATTGGACTGACCACAGTCCCTTCGCATTCTTCCATTTGAGAGGATGAGTGAATGCTCATTTCCCTTGTACAGTCTTCACCCACTTCATCAGTAGTGCTGCTAAGACCATCTGGGATGCTTAAATACCAGAGGCAATTTGCAGAGGTTAAATATCTCATTGGCATGGAAAGTGCGCCTCACAATATTTCTGATGAAAGACAACATAATTTTCTGTCTAAAAGGATACTTGACTGAAATTATAGGTTTTTGTTAACTGAAAGACTTACGAAAGTACAATCTGGATGATATTACAGTCATGAATAACGCTTACATTCAAATACACAAACCAAGCACAGAAATGGTCAGGAGTTTTTTGAACATCTGTAACAAAATACACCACAGTGCTTTTACATTACTCTGGGTAGGAAAACAGATCAAAAAGATTGGATGGTCTACAGATTGTTTCCAGCCTAGGATGATGTGGTACATCCCATGTATTAAAGCCACACGAGCCTCTTGATATTCTCAAAATGTAAAATACATTAAACATAGTTTCCATAAATAACTATGCATTTAATTGCCAATGCATTTAGATATAACTTACCTGAGTAGTTACTTTCATAACTAGCTGAAAAACGCCTGCAGAGGAGTAAGGACAGATTTCCTTATCTTTCGCATGCAGCATGGTAAAGACTTTGCACTACACACACACACACACACACACACGCATCTCTCAGTCCAACTCTGTGCCCCCTGTCTAAATGTCCATCACAGAGGCTGACACGCTTACCTTAGGCTAACTCTTATCTCATTCAAAAACAAGGCAGCCTCTACCCAGCTGCATCAAGACTGAAATCACAGTGCAGTGGATGATTTCAGTCACTCAGACAGAAACTGCACACTACTCAATAAAGTAGATGGATGCAGTCTACACTTAATGATTGTAATGAACAAAACTGTGACATTAAAAGCGAAACAAGTCTGCATCTAGCATATCACCTCCACTCACACTGTAGACAGATCAATGATGATTCTGCCTTTATGATGTCTGTTTGCATCTCTAACCATCTGCTTTGCTGCATGTGTGTTACAAACATATTTTGGTGACTATGACTGCACCAGCCACACCACCAAGAGTTTGCTGGTCTGAAGAAGTCTGACTCAATTAGTCCCACCATCTGGAGAGATGAATATTTCCTGTCTGCTGTGCACAGCTCTAAAAATACATGTCTACATTCTCGACTTGAAGCAATTTTTTTTTTCTTTCAATCTTTTCAATAGGAGTGTAAACCACTGGCCATTATTAACTGCTTCTCAAGTGACACTTAATTGTGTTGTTAGCAACACTCTTTGTTGTGAAATGTCTGGTGCAGTGCTACAAGTTAAATTATGTATTCCTCGCCCATTCAACAGGAGTGCTTCTACTGTATGCAAATGAAAGGCTGTATACTTAAGCTGCCAAACTGCGTTTCACAGTAATATAATTGGACACGGCTCACATCAGCATCTGACAATGGAGCTGTGACAGTAACAGGAGACTAAAAATTTAATAAATTAAAAAAACATAACATTTTTGCATGAATCTTTTTCTCCTCCACATTTACAGTACAAACCCTGCTGACCATCAAAGCACCCACTGAGGTTTGGGTGCTTTCTTAGGAGTAAGAGAGACCAGGCCAGCTAATAATTGACTTTGATATTTTCCCATCACGCACCTGCATCTAAAAGGTCACAAGCATCATGTAAAGCTGCAGTACTTTCTTAAGTGTTAAATGAAAACTGTATTTGTTATGTATGGTAAAAGAAAAAAAACTGGCATACAAACAATTAATAATTGGGTTAAACATATTGGTACAAACTGGAAGTCACACTGGCAGTGGCACTGAAAAATAACAATACATACACTGATCTTAGATTGCCCACTATGCATATGCAAGAGATTGTGGCAGCAGAAAATCATAGGCTTACTGGAAGAAAAGACTCCATCTATATAGCTCACTGTGGTGGTCTTAAAAGTGTTGATTACCCTCAATCTGTCAATCTTTCATTCATGTTCAGGTACATTAGGCCTTGGCTTCAAAGACTGGTTTATTAATTGTTAGATGTCACATGAACAAGACGACAAATACTGTAAGAGCAGCCAACCAAAACCACTCATTTTATGGTAATATAGATTAAATCTAAACTATAACCAAGCTCTCGACCACATTAAGATCACGGTTTAATGGTGTGATGTGTAACCATAGGAGCCAAATTTTAGTCTTGCTATGCAAGGTGTGCACGCAACAGAAAACGGGGACACTCTTTGCTTACCTAAATTATGGATGGAGTGAACCATTGACCTGTTCCTGACTCGCTCCCGGGCAACGTGTTGAACGTGGACGACATACCCAAATCTAATGCTAATTACTGGTTTAAAAAAACGGGGCCAAATTTACCGCGCGAGCGCATAACATCTCGTAAAAAGACACCTAAGTTGCAGTCCATCTCAGCGCAGAGTAGTCCAAAATCCAGTCCGTCCAGTAAACCTTCTCATGGTACCTGTGTGGACTCCTTAATGTGATAAGTCTCCGGCTGAGCCGCACTAAACCGGTGGATATGAAGAGTCTCCATTATTTTTCCCCTTTTGCGTTTAAATGGATATGCGGTCACTGCAACAGACGCCTCTCTCCGCGCACCTGTTTTCCGAGTGAATATTGTAACGCTAAGAGGACAGGCTGAGATAATAGTCAGCACAATCTAACCTCAGCTCAGACCGACCTGCATATATACCGAGTCTCCTCTCTGATTGGCTCACAGCGACGTCGCTCACGAAATCCCTTTGAAGTAGGGCTTCACGGGCGTCTGGTAAATGTAGGCGCGTGCATGCCACCAAATATAGTGTTTGTTTTTTTAAATCATATATTAACATACATTTATCGAAATACGCTTAATTTGATTTTAGATACTTGAATTTTTATTTTGTTTTAAATTCGTTTTCACGGAATCTTCTCAGACATATATTAGGAGGTCAACTTGATGACAGTTATTTCCCATACTTTTCATTTAGCATAGGTTACCTGCAGCAAGAAATACAGCTATAAAAGCAATCAAAAGAAACGCCCAAATACCTATGCTCTTTGTGAAATGATCTTTTATTGACATTCTCGGTTTTAACTTTGTCCTAATATTCTGAACTAAGCCTGATTCCTCGTGTGGTTTTGTAGTTTCGCCTTTATAAAGCTTATAAGCAACTGTTAGAGCGTTTTCCTGTTTATGTTTCCAGTAGGGACAAGGAGAAAGCTGGTTAAAATGCACTCTAAGGCAGATTACACCCGGTCAGGGTCTAAAGGTCAATTCACTGAAAATTTCCAAACGACACAGACACTTGTGTACATCACAGCTATTTTGAAGCAGACTTTTGGTGGATCGTGTTGAACAATGCTGCCATCTACTGTTATTGATAAGAAACTCGGTTTTGCCCCTGGGCAATTAGCCAGATAAAATCTAACCGAAGCATTTAATAAACATTCAGGGAATCATAATAACTCTGATGTACTGTCAACAATGTGCAGCCACAGACTCCAAACTCTCCTTTATTGCTATTTCATTTACCTCAGCGACAATAAAGAAGCTGCAATAAATACTGCAATCTGTTTTCTGTGAAATAAATCTGACTTCCGTTCATATCTGCAGTGTATGCAGATGAACACTGGCTTCAGATCAGACCCAAATTATCCACTAGATGTCACTACACGCCCTCCTTGAGTTAGAAAGTAATAAAAAAAAATTTGAAAATAATACTTCTATTATCATTATTATTAGTAGTAGTAGTTTTAAGACTTTGAGTAACTAGATGGCTTTGGGGAGTATGTTTTTCTACGACAGCTGATGTATAGTATAAAGTTTTTTTCAAGTTTTAGAGTGAGCTCTACTGGCTGGGTAATTGTGAGGGAAATGTAAAGTAAAACTCAGTGGAAATAACCTGAGTTTTGAACTCAAAACTTTATTTCAAAAAAATTCACAAAGGATTCCTTTTATTGTTTATGACAGGCCAAAGCTGTGAGGTGTGAGGCATAAACCTCCTAAAGGCAAGATAGGAAAACACTGTGCTATAAGCAGGCCTTTTGCATGTGGCAGTGGAAAAAACACTGATTCATATTATTAAATTTGCCTCCAAGCCATTTCAGGGTCCTCATATTGTGCATGTTGGTTCACTGTCATGAACAAAGCCATTGTTACAAACATCTGTAACACTTGTGTTCTTATTATTATCACGGGGAGCTTAAATCAGCCAGCTAAGCATCCAGTCTGGGCGGCTTTAGATCATGTGTAGGAGGGAATATATTTTGGACTTTTAACTTATATTCATAGGTTTCAGCTTTTCCGGGTAATCTGATAATCATCGTTGCCATTCATAAAAAGGAATTAAGTAACAGATCAACAATAACAATTAAAACTACAGAAATTTCTCTCTCTCTTTCGTTTTTTGTTTGCTTTTCAATTCACAGACAAATTCATCAGGACTTTTTCTGTAATTTTACGCATGTATTAACTACATCTTACTACATTTACTACATCATTTACTTCATGTAGAAAAACTGAGACGTGCCGTTTCAGCTGCAACACGCATTTGTAAAGCTTATGAAGCTCACTTTGCATTCGTATATTGAACAGTTCTGGTCTTCAGTATGGCTGCAGGAACACGATGCAAGCTGCTCTGGCCTCTCTCTGACACGGGGTCAGCAAAGACCTGTCAAGGTTTTGAATGAACCACCAACTCAGTAAACCATGCATGCATACACACACCAACACACAGATGACCGCAAACACCCAAACATACGTAACAGACAGTACGTAATGTCCTACATACATGCACATTAGTATGGTCGTATGGTGGCGCTCTTGCTGTGCCTTCCTGCCACTGGAAAACAGCGACAGTCTGGCTATTTAACGGCGGGGCTGGTGGCTTCATTCCGCTCTGAAACTGGCAGCACACCACATGAAATCCCCAGTAATGCGATGCCAAAGCAGCTTGTTAAACTCAAGAAGAGCGCTGTCTGATCTGAGGGAACTTGTTCAACTCGCCGCCTCCTCATCTTCACTTTTCACTTGATGACAATTTCTGCCGGATCGTGCCCAGCGCGTCTTTCTCTCTCCGCCTTCCGCATCTGTCGCACTGAAAGTTTGGTTTTGCGAAAGTAGACATGAATAACACCGGCTTCAACCAAACAGAGAGCGGCCTATTCAACAAGACAGAGGAGGTTTTTTGCTGCAACTTTTCATCCGTGGTGACTGATAATGGCTTTGTGGCAGCCGCTCCGGATGAGAGGAGCCTCTTCATCATGAGGGTGGTCCAGATAGCTGTCATGTGCGTTTTATCCCTCACGGTGGTGTTTGGCATATTTTTCTTAGGCTGCAACCTCCTCATAAAGTCAGAGGGGATGATTAACTTTTTGGTAACGGACAGAAGACCGTCAAAAGAAGCGGAAGCAGTTATTGTTGGAGCCTACTGACTGATAAAGACATATACAGTGATCACACTCTGATCAGATGGCCACAGATCGGAGACAGTGTGATGATCAGCCGCCAAAACCGGGCCCCGTTTTCATAATGGTACTTAGAAAAAGAAACAAGAACTCAGAGGAGCGGTCACCTTGCAAGAGGTAACTGAACTCTGCTGGTGGCTGATACTCACGGGGTGGGTCTACCTTATTTCTGCTGGCCTTTAAAGCCAAGAAAGACTCATTCATCTTCTAGAGGTATAGTGCGTTTTAAGCCTATTGTTGTATTAAGTACTGTAGGCTATTTAATCACGCACTGTTGTCATTTCAGTATAGTTTCCCTGTTTGTAAAGCAGCATCCTTTGTCAAAATAGTGGCAAAGTCTTTGTATTTGCTGCTTAGAAATACCTCCTTGCATCGAAAATGCAAGGGCAAAATACATGAATGTTGTATGCCTCTGCATGCAACATGCAGCTCTCTATTTTCTGGTGACAGTTGTTTGCGTGTCTTTGTCGGCAGCGGTGAAAGTCCGTAATGCTGTGTATCATGTTCATTTGAATAAATTCATTCTGTAATTAAAGTTTTCTTCTTAAGATCTGCTTTTCTGTCATTTCCTCCACCACGCCCTCTGCCAAAGTAACTGAGATCTCAGAAGCTAAAATTACAGCAGGAGAAAGAGCTCTTTGATTCATACTGTGATAATGACATGATGTTAAAATACAACAGAGGGTACTGATCCCGATGAATATATATTTTTAAGCTTTATCTATATCTATGAAGAGTTGTACAGTTACAGGGAACAAAGAAATAGCTGCTTTTCCCTCTTTTGATTTTTTAAATTAGATTTAGATTTAACATCTAAATATGAATTATTTTACCCAAAAGGATGCCTTAAAAATGCTCTAGAGTCCAAGAAAAAAAAAAAGCCTTCCCGCCTTCCCAAGAGAGCCCTGTCTGGGTCAGATTTTGATCCATGCAGCTTTTTACATCCTTCCTCCTTCTGCCAAAACATCTGTTATGCTCATCCCCTGCTTCACCTGGATTCTACCTCCCCTGGAGCCTTAAAAATGACTTGCTTTCTCAGTTCAGAGAGGATGAAGCTATCGGACAATACGCTGCTGTCTGATTGCCCACCTGTGCTCCGCTCGCAGTTAAATAGAATCAACTTAATTTAAAATGCCCTTCACCCCAGTTACTCCATCTGTTTTACCCTTTCTGATCTATGCATCTTGTCTGACACGGCCTTACTCGTCTGATGAATGTTTGTCAAGGTGGAAACTGTCTCAGGCCACATTTGCTGTCCTCATGCTGGATCTGAAGAATTCAAGCAAGCACTTATTTTACTAATCGTGCTGAGGAAAAATAAATGAGTAAGCAGTAATTAGATTTTATACTCTTATAGGTGGAAGACCTACACATGGGTTACATGAAATTAAAACAACTGCTATCAAATATGGCACAATCCAGTAGAGTGGCAATAAATGCTGCATTTGTGAAGCTTATGATGTTGACTTTACTGCGGCTATATTTTATAGTCTTCAACAGTGGGGGGCAAATATTGCCTAGATTCTTTAGAAGAGAGGAGTTTAATGAAAAACCACCAAAAACAACAGCTTGAGAAATTGCAACAACTGAATCAACACCTCTCGGAGTCAGCCTCCACAGAAACCCAGAGCTGGAAATCTTAAATATACAGCTGAGCTGGGTTTATAGGGTTCATATTCTGTTCTTGTCTTGCCTTCTTCAAATTTCTAATAAGAAATAACTGCAAAAGCACACAATCCTGGGAGGTTATTCATAGCAAGTTAATAGGCTTCTTTACATGTAAAATTCACACCCCATAAATTTACCTCTGAATAATTAAGCCACATTTAGTTTTTCAAGCTGAGCAATAGATTTTTTCACATTTTCACCTCAGGTATGACTCTCTGTAGTTAGAGCAACACATTAACAAAGCAAATGATGCAAAGAGAAACATGTCTTTCTCTGTTAATAACAGCATGAAGTGTTATTAATATAAGTAAACATAAAACATAAACACAAAAATTTTTTTGGCCTAACTGAATATGGGATACAATAACAGTAAAAATGCAGCAGGTATAATTGTATTTGTATATATGACTCCAAGCGTTTCTCTTTTCTGTGATTGCTTCTGTTAGGTAGTGCTGAGAATAGCTCTCAAATATTAAATATCCAGCAGAGAACAATCTTCTGTCTGCAGCTGAGCTGTAGTTAGTTTATCCCG